CGTCAAACCATATAGGCTGAAACACACCACCCACTGCCAGTTGTTCCAACAATAACGTTAGCATGCTATTGCGCTTAGCAGTGCTACGAGGAAACGTGTCCCCAGGGAAACAGTTCACTGGTGGCCGTGACAAAACGTTCCGCACGTGTTCAGACTATTTACACCGGTATTCAGAAAAGTCATATCATAACAAAAATAAAAACCGGTTTTCGGTACAAAACAGTATACTGCCCAGCACTAATGCCTACTTACCCTACTAGTGCATATGTCTTTCCAATAGCATCAGGGTCTTTTATAGCATTGACAATGGCTTGGGCCACATCCACCACCTAGGCAAAAAAAAGTCTGTTGTTGGACTTACTTGATACATGAATAATTTGCTAATATCTACAACACATTAATTTGTTTGTTCAGCGTAAAACATCAGACATTATTTGCAGATAAAAACTCAATACTAAACTGTAAATTGGACAGCACAGGTGAAGACAACATCGAGACAAGGTTTCAATATATGAATCCTTGAAACTAAAGCTTAAGTTAGGGATCAAATGCAGATTCTGTCCTACGGTGTACATTTTAGGACATCCTCAGTTTTAGTTGTCAGTCATCAGTTGTCAACAAAAAAGTTCTCAGTTTTACTTGTCAGTCGTCTTTATATTTATATTTTTATTTATATTGTTCAGGGTTCCCACACCTTGGCCAACATCAAATTCAAGGACTTTCCAGTACCACTTTCCTCAAATGAAAGAACTACGCGCAACAGCAATTGCATACTGTTACAGCAGAATGTTACCAATAAACAGGTTTAATTTCTTGTAAATTCAATCAAAAACTGAACAACATAGAAGATGAGTCAGAAACAATGACGTCAGTTTACTGTAATCTTGAGTTATCCACCACAACAAATGTAAGTTTTTTTAATTAAATCTTATAAATTATTTTTTTAAAAGATGAAAATATGTCGTGTGAATAGAGAATTTCAATCCCCAAAAACATTTAAGGACAAGTGTAATTTTTGGCTGTTTTCACAAACGTTCCAGGGCCTTGAAATCATTTTTTCAAATTCACAAACTTTCAAGGATTTCAAGGACCAGTGGGTATCCTGAATGTTACTAATCTGAGCAATCACCTGCTGTTACTACGCATTTTAAACCTTAAAAACTCTGCTGTAATTGCACATCTGTGTTTCTTTTCACAACTAGTGTGTGAACCTCTGTACGGATGTTGCTGTGACACCTGAATTTCCCCTCTGCGGGACAATAAAGGCTATTTCTATTCTATTCTACAAACAGCTTTTGCACAATCACACCCACAATGAGGTTTAAAAATGGGTAAATTTGATGTAAACTGTGTTGCTTTTGTTGACCAAACCTACATAAACAGGTTGCTTCACGGTCTTCTTTCCCCTGGCGATTAGTGGAATAGCATTGGTGAACCAGCGCATGTCTGAAAAGGAATGAAGGAACAGGAAACAGTAACATATCAAAAGAACCATTTCCAACATAAAACACAAGTGGCTGAAATAAAGTGAGTAAAAAGTTGTGTTTGTGCCTCATTCCAACACACACTGATCTTACTTGCAAAATAGTTGAAGAAAGCGTCCTCTCTCCCAAACATCTCAGATGGCTTCATGATAATGGCATCAGGAAACTCTTCTCTCACTGCTTTCTCCCCTACGGCCTATAAATAAAGGATGATACACATGATCACCTTCACCTGTAAAACTTGTTGCAACTCTAGTTTAACTGGCAGATAAATACAGCAGGTAAAAAGTATTGAACACGTCACCATTTTTCTCAGTAAATATATTACTAGAGGTGCTAATGACATGAAATTTTCACCAGATGTTGGTAACAGCCCAAGTGATCCATACATACAAAGAAATCAAACCATAAATGTCCAGAAATGAAGTTATTTGTAATAATGTGGAATGGCAC